TCCCAGAATTCCTCAGCCAGGAATGCTTGTGACTGGCGGACCAATTCCCAGAATTCCTCAGCCAGGAATGCTTGTGATTGGTGGACCAATTCCCAGAATTCCTCAGCCAGGAATGCTTGTGACTGGCAGACTTCGACTCCCAGAATTCCTCAGCCAGCTAGGAATTATGGGAGTTGAAGTCCACCAGTCAGAAAAGGGACACGACTCCCCACCCATTGCTCTAAGGGGCCGTTTGAGGCCCTCAATACCTTCCAATTCCCCTCCCTTCACCTCCAAAACTGAAAAAATAAAAACAAATCTCACATTATGGACCCATTTTGTTCCGGTTGGCTGGGAGGGGGCTTATAAATACTTCATCGGAGTAAATGAGGAAGCCATGGCCTGGCCTTGGGAGCATGTCTGCAAATGGCAGAGGGAACGGAAAGTACGCAGGGGGTGTGTGTGTTTCTTTCACTGCACACCAGCACACACCAACCACACTTCCGTTTCTTGGCCGGCTGCTGCAAATTCTTCATGGACTGAGTCAGAGCCAAGGGTCTCTGGCCGGCCCGCTCGCGCTCCTTCCCAGTCCCACGTGCTGCAGGGTGGGCTTTGTGCCACCGGCTGGGGTGGGGGTGTAATGTGCCATTAGCCACAGACAGCTGGAAACTGAACCTGCAGCTGCCAGGGCTTTGGTCTATTCCAAGGCCGAATATCAGAATATGTGTTGCCTGGAGCAGAATATATTCCAAATGGCACCCAGCACAAACGTATGTTAACACACACACACACACACACACACACACACACACACACATTCTGATTAGGACACTTGTTCACCTGTGCAGCGGAGGGGACGAGGGTTGTGCAAGCGACCTTCCTTAGCCTGGAAGGTGCTCGGGGAGGGGGGTGTTCGCCCCTCTCCCCTATCCTGGCCTTTTGTGCCCTCCCCCCAAATGCTCAACAGGCTGGCTCTGATGTCCCCTCCCCCCTTTTTTTGCATGCCATCAGTGCGAGGTGTGGAGCGGGGGGGCAGGAGGAATTATTTCAGTGGCGGCTGCCCCCTCCCCCCCCCCCCCCGGGGGGTTTTTTGGCGGGGGGGGGGGGGGGGGGGAATACGACTGGGTGGGCGTGGCTATGTGGTCATGTGACAGGGGGAGTGTCTGGAGCAGAGGGTTGGACTATATGACCTCCAGTTGCCTTCCAGCACTCGAATTGCTGTGCTGTTTCAAAGCATTCTCTGAAGCTGCATCTAGTGCCGAGGTTTGTGGTCCTTCCTTCCTCTCCTTTTTCCCTCCCTCCCTTCCTCCTTTTCTTTCTTTCTCTTTCTTTCTCCCCTCCCTTCCTTTCTTTCTCCCCTCCCTCCCTCTTTCTTTCTCTTTCATTTTTTCTTTTGCATCAACCTCTCCCCAACCCCCGTGCCCCGTTTTTGGCCTAGCGGGCCTTTGGGAAGCCGCTGAAAAAAGAAGCATTTTGAAGCAAAAAAAGGGAGATTATCTGTGCCGCACGATTTAGATTAGCTAGAAACCAAGAAATCTGACGATTTCCTGCTTTCTAGCTAATCTAAATTGCGTGGCACAGCTGATCGTCGCCCAGGTGATCATTGGAAATACCGATTTGGCCAAACCAGTAGCATTTTTTTTTTACTACCGGTTCGGTTGAACCGGGCTGAACCGGTAGAATACCACCACTGGAGTGGGTCTAATTCAAAGCTCTGGAGGCCGCGCAGGAAACTACCTGCTAGTGGGTTAATTGGAGCCAGCTTTGCGACAGCAGCTCCTGCCACTTGACGTAGGTTTGGGCAGCCAGGTTCTTCAGCTTGGTCCGGTAGAGGAGAGCGGGGTCCTCGCGGAGGCTGCTGCTGATGTGCCGCTGCACCTGGAGGCAAAGTTGCTGGAGGTGTCCCTGGGGAGGGTGCAGGAGGAAAGAAAGAAGGGCAAAGATGAACCGTGTAAGGATTCGTCGAGTAGCCACGGAGAACGCGGCAACTAACCTGGAACTGGATATAACGTGTTGCATTTCAGGCTAGGGAGAAGGATGCCATCTGTGCCAGCGTGGCAAGGCAGTCCAGACAGGAAGCCCACCCAGATGAACTAATTCTACTTTATTTTAAGGTTACATAGACGGAATCTTGCAAACCCGAAAATATTTCTCTCCCACCTCCCACCTTTACAGTCCAAGCAACTAGGGAGGGGTCTCTTGGAAGAATTTTTGCCAGGCTCTCATTCCTTCTGTGGACACAGCTGCCCTTGTCTGCTTTTTGTCTGATATGCAGCTCTTCCTCCTGTCTCCCAAGGTCACTCCCACATTCCACTACAATCTGACACACACACACACACGTCTCCCACCTCCCACCTGAGACCTCTAGATGTGACAGGCTACAACTCCCAGAATTCCTAGCCAGCACAGCTGGTTTAAGTCGGAGAGAAGCACGTGTTTGATAGGTCGCTTGCAAAGTGAAACGATGCACAAATTAAGGCGGATACTGTATATGCGTTCCAGGTTCACGTTGCAGGATCCAATGTGGGTCGGTCGCCAGGACCAGAGGTTCTGCCTTCCAAGCCTTCGGAGTGGTACTGAAGCCCATCTTCAGGGTAATTTTCTCTAGCAGAGTATGTGTTTGCTAGAGAGATGTTTCTTGAAGATGGGCTCCTCCAGTATGAATCTGGAACCTCAGGAGACGAAACCTCTGGTCCAGATAACCGATCCAGATTGGATCCTGAAACAAGACAAAACAGAAATATTTGGGCTTCGGTTTGACTAGCTATAAAGAGTGGCTGAACTACATGTTATACCAGAAGTCTCTAACCTTGGCAACTTCAAGACTTGTGGACTTCGACTCCCAGAGTTCTCCAGCCAGCATAGCATAGTTGGCCGAGGAATTCAGGGAGTTGAAGTCCACAGGTCTTAAAGTTGCCAAGGTTGGAGACCCCTGGGTTATACACATCACTCCAGTGGTGGGATTCGAAAGTTCCCACCACCAGTGCTGTGGGCGTGGCTTGGTGGGCGTGGCTGCAGAAGGGTTGCACGACTCGTGTGACTTGCGCAAGCAAGCGCGTGCCAAATGTATGCGGTGCACATGCATTACAACAGTAAAAACCAAGCTACTGTGCCTCTCAGCTGTTTAGCACAGCAATCCACTCCACTGCACCAAACAGCTGAGTGGTTAAAAAGGACCTAGGAGCAGCTGAACTTTGGCGCTACCGGTACGCCAGAACTGGGCCGAACCGGTGGAATACCACCACTGCATCACTCCATTCAACATGCAGGGCTTAGTAACTGAATTAACTCATTTTCTGGGTTGAACTTGCACAACAGGCCAAGTCACAAAACCCTTAATTAAGCATGCAATTAATTTACATTTGTGCTGTGATTCTAATTGCTATTGTTTTCCAGACCCGGCTAAATGCATTGTAAGGGAACTGCAGAAATATTGGTATCTTACATCATTCTGGACCCCTCCAGTTTCACTTTTTCCTTTTTTGAATTTTGCTTATTAAAGTTGTGTAGCCTTCCCTCTCACACCTGTGACTCTGGATGGTGTGCACACCATTAGACAGTCCTGCTTCAACAAACATGTTGAAAACATGTGAGAGAGCATTTTCCTTAACACCTCCACTATTTTTTTCTAAAAGATGGGTCGTATTATCTTTGGCTATGTTCACACAATTGAGGATGCCCTAAACCAGGGGTGTCATGCCCCTGTTGGAATCTGATTCCGAGGGGGAGGCCAAGCAGCTGAGAGTGGGAGTGTGGCTCCAGTGGCTGTGGAAGAAACTGGGGAAGGGCACAGTCCGGCTGGGCAGAGCAGGAGAGAGGTAGAACAAGGGAGAGGGAGTTCAGAGGAAGACCCAGGCCCACCCCCTCTTCATCCTAGGGTATGCAGGGAGGAATGGAGAAGGGAGCAATGTGGGTTGAGTGGCTTGCAGGGGAGGAAAGGGCCCTGATTCCCTTCATTAGCTGCAGCTGGGAACACAGTGCTTAAAAAGGGAGTTTGTGCACAGCAACTCATAAGAAGCAAATCGTGAGTTATCTTTTATGGTCGAAGCTTATCTGGGTTCCTGGCGTCTTCCCAACTGTGTCTGTTTTGTTGCCCTTTGTAGTCCGCAATTCCTTATCCTGCCCCGTCCAGTTAATTGCTGCAGCGTCAATTTTTTGTGTCAATTTTTTATTTACAGTTTATACATATTGTTTTCAGATTGATGGATTTCCTTCATTTAAAGACTGTTCTTGGGAGAGTTTTTTTCTCTAGCCGAAGGTAACTGGACATTGGGTGGCAAAGTTGGAGGTATTAAAGGGACTTTTCTTACTCATGTGACTGTGTTGCCTTTGTGCCACGCCCCAGGTAATCACAAGGGGTCCCCAAACTTGGCAACTTTAACACTTGTGGACTTCAACCCCCAGAATTCTCCAGCCAGCATAGTCCACAAGTCTTAAAAGTTGCCAAGTTTGGAGACCTCTGCCCTAAACCTATGTTAATAAGCCGTCATTGTGCAAAGCCCAAATAAACCACATGCCGCCTTCATGCAATGGCCTGGCACAAATCAACTAATGTGCTAATGTGCTGGTTAGCTTCCCAGGGTGCGCTGAGTGCGCTGAGCCACAAAGTGCCCCAGCCCCGTTTGGGTCTAGACCAACATTTCCTGCGAGAGCCCTCCACTAAGCACCTCTTAGTCATTAATTGCAAAGTACAACTCCACATCAATTTTGCACCTTCCCCAGACCCACAGATGCCCTGAGCCAGCATTTCTCCACTTCAGTGAGTTGTAACAAGGCAAGCTGGCTCCAGTGGAGCTGTGAAAGGGAAATGTATGCTGCCCGCAAAATTGAGCCGCTGCCAGGGTAAATGTCACACACCGTGTACGTGTTATTCCAATATATGGAAAATCATATAGGCATATATTTTCCTCATGTGAGATTTGCTGTCTACGTTTGGTCTGAACACAACCTTTTATTTTCTGAAGCTAGTTTTCTTGCTCTTCCTGACCCTGGTCTCCATCTCACCTGCTCTCTTGGAGATGCTGGCTTGGTTCCCACAACCACGTTGGCTAATACCAGGAGGTTGTAGCAAAGGTAACAGGCCTGCAAGGAAGAGAGAAAGATATTGGATAAGCAGAGATGCAGATGCTCCTGCAGACTTCATATCTCCCGCCCAATAATCATCTAAGGCAAGGATCGTCAAACTTGGCTTGCGGACTTCAATTCCCAGAATTCCTGAACTAACATGACCGGAGGAGGAATTCTGGGAGTTGAAGCCCACAGGTCTTAAAGCTGCCAAGTTTGGAGACCTCTGATCTAAGGAGACAGAGCAGGTCCTCCATATCTCATTTCTGGCATCCAACATCTTCGGTTAGAATTAGAATTAAATGAACTTTATTGTCATTGTACAAGTACAACAAAACTGTGGATGCACCCCAGCAACTGTTCGCAATACAATAAAACCAAAGCACTTAAAAATGAAGATAAGAAAAATAGAGTACCCACGTCTCCATTTGCAATTTGAGAGTACGATATCTACAAATATACACAAAATATACATCCAACACTGACTGTAACGCTTAGCCGAGTATAACACACAAGCGATGGATTATACTGTAATATGTTATTATACATCTGAATGGGGTATTGAGATTGCACATCTTTTCACATCTTAATGAGGTAGTGACTTCGTGTTTATTTGCGGTTTGGATGGCCCAGGGAAAGAAACTATTTGTTAGTCTAGTGGTGTGGGATTTTATTGACCTAAAACGCCGTCCTGACGGCAGCAGGTCAAAAAGATCATTGCCAGGGTGTGAGGGGTCTTCTGCTCTTCCCAGCCATCCTTGGACCACAGGAGGGAAAAATGGAATACCAGCTGGATGGCAACCAGCTATTCCGTGGCCCACTTCTTCTGGACAGCACCCTGTCAATGGCTTACTCTGAAGGCCCAAGAAAAGCCTAGGAAAGAACCTGCTTGATGTTCAGGTAAACCAACTTTGAAGTGGGTTGAAGCTCTTGGGGCAATTTTTTTTCCACCCAAGAGTGTAAATCTTTTTGGACCGTAGACCATGCTTTCTGTTGGTGCCAACTCTGGTGTGTGTGGGTGTGTGTGTGTGCGCATGGTGGGGGGGAGGTAGAGGGGGTCTGCATCCAGGACAGGGACATGAGCCTTTGCAGGAAGCAACTTTCTTCGTTCTGATCAGTTTAAACTCTGAAGCTCCGCGCTGACTTTGTCCTCCGTTTGGCCTTGTACAGCTAATTGGTCTTACACACACACACACACACACACACACACACACCAGGAGGACTGGGAGGCTTCCCCAATTTAATGACTGCACAATTTGTACACCAGCAGATCTATGCAGATGAATAACTTCATGCTTAAAAAAAGAAATTCAAATAATAATTAAAAATGGTAGAAAACCCCATGCGAATAGAGGTGCGCCCAAAAACTCTAGGCCCAAACAGTGGAGTCTAGATGCTAGGAGGTGTGTATGTGTGTTCACAGCCTGGTAGTTCAAGGGATGGGGCATGGGCTATGCTCTCCACCGTTATCCTCTCCTGCACACAAACTTTCCCATCACCCGGGGCTGAATCATGGGGCATAGCTATTCCATTTCTCAACAGACCAGTTCTTAATTTTAATTATCACTACACAGGTCGGTTTACGTTAACTCTAATCCCGAGAAGGCTATCCCAGCTCCTAAGTGTTCAGTTCAGTCATGAAGAAATAATATTTTTCTCTCTCTAATGGAGTGGAACAAAAATTAACACTTGCTGTCAACAGATTTATAACCATTCACAAACGGAGTATTTTGAGGTTGGTGTTTGTCTCTGTTTTAAATATATGTGTTCTAAACACATTTGCTTCATTCTCTGGAAAAATTCTTACTATATATAGAGAGAGTAAGAATTTTTCCAGAGAATGAAACATAAATATTTAAATTATCTATCTATCTATCTATCTATCTATCTATCTATCTATCATCTACCTACCTACCTACCTACCTACCTGTCAATTATCTATCTATCTATCATAAAAGATTTTTTCCAGAAAATCAAACATCAAAAGACAGGATGAAAAGGAAGACTAGATGGATGGATGGAAGGAAGGAAGGACAGGAAGTAGAGAGGAAAGCAGGAGGAAAACAGGGAAGGAAGGAAGAAAAAGAGGAGTGAAGGAAGGGAGGGAGGAAAGAGGGAAGGAAGGAAGGAAGGAAGGAAGGAAGGAAGGAAGGAAGGAAGGA